ACGCTCCTGCCCCCGATCAGAGATCGATAGGAAGCCCACGAAGAGCTGGCAGAAGAAGTACCTGGGGTTTGTTACCGACCCAAACCAGGTCAATGTCGGCATCACACGAGCTCAGGAAGGACTTTGCATTTTAGGTGGGTCTCCTGGGAGCATGCCCAGGCCTGCAGGGGAACAGGACACTTGGATAAAGGGGTGGAGATCCAAGCTAGTCCAAACGATGGTCTTGCTTTATTCTTCTGCCTTTCAGGCTGGCTGTGGTTTTGAAGCTGGGCAATCTCTGCAGAGCAGACTCCTGCATGGCTTGTATGTCGCATGTATAATTAGTTTTTCCCACCCTTTGGTTCGGACCATGTTGTTTCCATCACTTGTGTGCTAGAGCTTCTCTCCTAACAGAATTGGGCTGCTTTTTTTTCCTCCTTATCACGCAGACTTAGGCTGTGATGTGTAGGGCAGCTGCTCGCAGATGTGACAGCACTGAAAAGGGAGGTGGGATTTCACAGAGCTCTGGCTCAAGGAAACATCCCTGCAAGTTAACTGGCCACCTTGGGCTAGAAATGTTGGACAAAAGTTTCTGTGAGCACTCTGTGGTGATGTCATCTGAGCCTCTTCTGGCCATTAACCTGCTGTCCCCATCCCTGTGCCCACAGGGAACCAGTACCTCCTGGAGTGCAACCCTTTGTGGAGGACACTGCTCCAGCATTACAGGCAGCGCAACTCCTGCACTACAGCCCAGGGGATTTTCATCAGGAGGACTTCAGCCTTCCACCGATGAGGATGGGTTGGACCTCGAGGAGCTTGTCTGGTGTTACATGTGCCTTGGGAAGGACACAATCTTTCCATTATTTAATGACCCATGGAGCCAAATGCGGTGGGGGAGCCAGGACCTTCCCCTGCACAGTGACAGCTCAACTTCAGTTCGTGCTTTGGCATCTTGTGGGGTTTTTTTATAATCAGTGCCACCTTGGATAGGAACTTTGAGCTCTAGCAAACCAAAAAGCATTGGAAATGGATGGATGGGTGTGTGACTTTATTGATGAATTATGTTTTTAACTATAAGATGCTCAGCGGGGCCACCATCCCACCTGCCAGTGCAGCTGCGCTTTGGGGACCAAAGACTCAGTCCGTTCCCGGAGGGTGGAATGACTGCAACGCAACGGAACCATGTGCCAGAGAGGACCAAAGCTTCTGAGTGGGCTACCACTCATTTTAAAACCAAGGCCAGGGAATTTTTAAGGCTTCTTTGTTTGTTTTGTTCTTATTTTTTTAAAGTGAAGGAAAAAAGCAAAGAGAGAACCATGTCCCACTCTTTGTCTAGCCAAAACGCTCTTCTCTGAGCCTGTGAATATCACAGAGCCAAGGCCAGGTTGATTTTGTAAATAGATTTACTTATTCTTTGTACAAAGGAGGTTGTCCTTACCAGTATAAAGTCAAGGAAAAGTGAGGACCACTTATACTAGGAAACATTGGAATTCGTAAGCGTATTTTAAACTGTTTGGAGTTTTATTTTAAATCTCCCTCTGTAAGAGCCCCCCCCTTTCCTACCCCATATTTTTTTAAAGCTGCTTCTAATTTATTACCTTTTAACTCTGTGAATTTCTTTCACAGTCTGATGGCCTGAGTTTTTAAGAGCGGTGATAGAACTCTGACAAATGTACCACAGCATATATGTGTATAATGTTTTGGGTTGGGTTTTTTTTAATTTTAAGTAGCCAAGCTGCTGTGGTTCACTGGAGGAGGCTGCTTTTGCCTGGTGATGGATGGCTGACACGGATGTCCAGCAGTGAAGTGGTGCTCTCTGCTGAATCATGGAGCTGCTTTTTTGTGAAGCATGATCTTTTTTTTTGAGGGAGGGGTGTCTTTTTATCTCATTTCAATCCTGAATGTATGAAGTGCCTGCCCCAGCTCTCCCCAGGACCACATGCTTGGCTGTCTCTAGATGTGCATGTGGGATGGAGCCAAGATGCAATGATGGTGGTTTTGCACCACGGATCTACTGTGCTGGGACACCAGGGCTCCTTGGTGTGAGTGAAGGGTCCCTGTGACTTCACAGTGCTACGGCAGGGATGAATTTTGTCCTGTGTTTGCAACTGAAAATGCTGCATGGCTCTTTCCAGGGAGGAGGAATGTGCAATAAGAAACTGGAAAAGTCTTTATTTAACGCTGTGTTTCTTCTCCTGACTCTGTGTTAGACTTGACTTAGGAACCTATGGAGAAATTTTGTTGTCCTCTCATTTTAAACTACCTTCCTGCACTTCTGCATTTAGTGGGTTTGATCTGTAGGCTAGAGACCACCCAAGCTTGCTCTTGTCTTACTGAAGCATAATAACAGGCATATGGCTGGTGATTCCACAAGGGACAAAATCCCATAGGAATTAACTCTTGCTGGTTCTAAAGATGCTTGATAAAAGCTGGCAAGATGTAAAATTCATTGTTCTTTGAAGTCATCCCAGCTGGGATCTTAAACATTCTGTGCCAGCCTGATTTTGCAAATAATGTTGCAATTCCAAAATAAGTTTTTTATGGGAATCATTTTGTGGATGACTGAACTGCAATCACATATCTCCGAGATGATGTGGAGCGTTGCAAAAGATGCTGCAATTGTTGGGATAAATAATTTAGCATGGTGCCAGCACCATTCGAACAAAGTCACCTTGGTCCCTTTAGAACCAGTGGGTCTCGTTTTCATGATCTAATGTAAGTAAGTGAGGAGTCTCTACTCTGAGTTTTTTTTGCTGGCTATTTCATTCCACGTAACACAAATGAGGAGTCTCGCCCCAAGGTCAGTGGCTTAGTCCAATGCTCTTGTGAGGGGGCTGGCCATGTGTTTGTATAGACCAAGAAAGAGACCTCACAAAGCATCTCTGTGCTCTCAGTGAGGAAAAAAATGTTTACTGCTGCTGCTTGGAGGGTAAAGCCTGGACTGAAATGCTTTGCTTGGTCACCTCTGTGTTGCAAATCAATATACATTTTTATATATTTTTTTTTTCCTCTGAAGATGTATTTTGTAACTGGTGTTTAGAAAACGCTGCCCTGGACCACCCAAGCAGCAGTAACAGCCAGGCTGGACTCTGGGGCTGTTTGGGCCATGGGCAGGTACCTGTAGAGCTGGTCACACAGCTGTGACAGTCAGGGATAGCAGAAAGTGCAATTAATCAAACTTTTGATAGACTGTTAGTGACAGCTGAATACTGTGTTCTTGTATTTGTGCTCATGGATAGAGAGAATCATAGAAATTAAGAGAGGAAAAAAAAATCCAAGTAGTCCGGTTTTATTTGCATACAGAGCTTTGAATTTACTTTTGAAATAATTTTATGTTCAAGCACATCTTTTGAAAATGCTTTTAAAAAACCCAAACCACCAAACCTTTGGTCATTCCAGTAGGAAGCCACTGGCAGCACGGTGCACAGGGTATCTGTCTGACCACAGGCTCTACAGTTTCTGCATCTTACAGACAAGAGAACATTGTTGCAGGACACAAATGTGGGTTCATCCAACAGGATAACTTAATTTCCTGGGCACTAACGAGAGCTTGAGGCCAAGTTGAACAAGGGGAACCAGCGCACGCGGGAAGCGGCGTGCCAGCCGCCAGCCTGGGACGGTCCGTGCGGTCACAGCCATCGCCCGGCGTCCCCCTGGGACTGGCACTGAAATCACAGACCTCCAGGATGAGGAAACTTCTCCTCAGCTCCAGCTGGCAAAGGAGAAGCCCACTGGACTGTTCTGAAGGATTTGGATAGATCTGTGTAGGACAATCAATTTACTGCAATAAATTGTTGGGTGTTTTTGTTCATTTGTTTGGTCCGTGCGGTCACAGCCATCGCCCGGCGTCCCCCTGGGACTGGCACTGAAATCACAGACCTCCAGGATGAGGAAACTTCTCCTCAGCTCCAGCTGGCAAAGGAGAAGCCCACTGGACTGTTCTGAAGGATTTGGATAGATCTGTGTAGGACAATCAATTTACTGCAATAAATTGTTGGGTGTTTTTGTTCATTTGTTTGGATTTTTAAATAGAAATGCAATGTTAAGTGTCATGAAGTGTAAATTAAGGAACTTCAAACGTGGCAGGATTTTATCTTTTGTATGTCCGTGTCTTGCAGCAAACCTCAAATGACATTTTGGATACAAATATTTTTACCTGCTTCTACCGTTTGTAAGAATGAACCTCAACATTCCTTTTTTTGATATTTAAGCCATGATTGTAAAAATAATTTGAATTTATTTAAATAATAAATTTTATTACTAAAAGGTCTGCTTAGTGATGGTTTGACTAGAATATGTGTGGGGTGGGACAGCTAGATTTGGACTGAACCAAATGGTAAAGAAGAATATGAGCATTAAGTGCAGTACATGGCAGAAAAGATTGTTTTCTATATGTTGGGTGTGTGGATTTGGGGCTTGGGGAGGTGGTTGGTGGTTTTTTGTTGTTGTTAGATGTTGGGGGTTTAATCAGAGTGATCTTTTCACGCACATGAAATCGTGGTTAGATAAGGCACAGGGTGTAGAGGGTGAGAGGAACCAGAGGTGAAGGTGAGTTATGGTGAGTTATTTGCAGAGCTTAGGATTCAGTTCAGGTGTTTTGGAGGAAGGATGTGTGGGGGAAAAATTAATTGGGGTAAGAAAGAAAACAAAGCAACATCATTGCAAGAAGCAGGCACTGGGCATCTTTTCATGGATGGAAAGCACGGGGTGGTAGAGCTGCTTCCATCTGCTGTGTTTTGCATCTGAGGTGTCCTGCAAGACTGCCTGCTTCTAGCTGCTCCCACCTGTGAGTTCTGGCAGTGGGAACTGAGGGCTGAGTCCCAAATGCTGCCTGAGGATCTCGTTTTGTGTGAGAAATTTGGAATGGGTGACCATTAACCTGGAAAGATTTGGGGAAGGCTCTTGTAGAATTGTTGAAAACAGAACGAGTTCAGTTCCACAGAAAAAGGTTTAAAAATAAGGTTTACTTTTGATTTTTCTCATCCATGGGTAAAATGAGAAAAATGTTCTTGTGTGCCACCTCATTCTTCTGGTGCATAAGTGCTGCTGTTGGCGTCTTCATCAGCGTTAGTTTTTGTCTTCAATATAATGCTGTCGTGCCATTTTACAAAGACGAGTGTGTCGGTGGCTGCTCTTCTAATTGTGAATTCATATGATCTGCCAGGCTGCAGGTCCTGGACTACGCACGTGTTGGAGGTGACTGTCTGAATCCTACCATGTCCCAGTTCTCTCAGACTCCTGTCTGTCACTAATTTAGTGTACAGCTCACATGGTCCAAGTTGTGACTCTTGATTTTCACTGAACCATTTGAGCTTGGCCCAGTTCTTGTGTGCAAATGATGCTTCTCGATCAAAAATCAGTGGCATCTTTGTCTGGAGAGAAAGTGTAATGGCTGGGAGACTGGTACCTCTGAGATCTGCATGGGACACCAAACTGTGCTTGGCGTAGAGTTGTCCTGGCACTTGCAAGGAGATGAGAGTTTCCATAAACTGGGAGAGCTTGGACAGTTTCTGTGCAATCAAGTCCCACTGGCAGAGGAAAGTTGTCATGTCGTAGGTCTCTACGTAACAGCTCAGCTCCTCCCAACCTCGTGCCAGCTGTTCTAACAGCTCGGTTAAAAGTGATAGCTGGATTTCAGTCTGGTTTTTCCCCACCTTCTTCATCCTCTGCAGGTGGACGGGGTCTATGAGTTGCAAGATGTCAATCGGATGCGTCACGTGGTTCTGGTCTCTCACGTTCACTTGTTTGGGCTCAATGTCCAAATAAAAGTAACACCTCTTCAGAAGCTCAGCGTTGCTATAGAGGTGCTGGAGGTGCTGGAGGCTCAGGCTGGAGTGCAGGAACTGCAGAACAAAGCTTCTCTTTTCCAAGTACAGCTCCCAGCTGGATGTGCCTTGTTGTTCTTCCCTGTGCACGCTACTCTCCATCCTGGTTGCAAACTCATTCAAAGCCATGATTCCAAAGCTCAGTGGCTGTGGAAGAAAGCAGCCATAATAATGTTAAGAACCAAAGGAAAAGCAGCTGTGAGGGAGTAAAATCATGGCTGTGACTCTTCTCTGTTAATTATAAAGCTTAGCTTATAAATTGATAGATGGGAAAGAACTGTTAGACTAGGTGTAGTTCCAGAGGAATGTTCCTTTTTAGCTGTATGGTTTCTAATGTTTTCTATACTCTACTTTTATATATTCCAACCAACTGGTGTCCTGCTACCCCCGCCCCTTGAGAGGTTCTACCTCTGCTTAATAGATTCACTGTCAGGAATCATTCTCTGATATACTCTGCCAACATTTCTCTCTATCTTATTATCTTCTGCTTCATTCTAATTAGATGCCTTTGTACTCCTGTAAGCAATTTCTTTCCATTCTTCTACATCTCAGGAGATGTCTATTTTTCTCTCTTTGTAATCTGCTAGGCTGTTGAGGTTTGAGACCCATCTTCTAAGCCAATTCCTACAGCTACATAATCACCTTGGTGATTCAAATTAACCCTCTGCCCTCCAAGAGAGCTGGTACGCAGCACACAGAACCAGGCAATATGCTGAGTGCCACCTCACGACAGCTTTCAAGAGGAACTCTGGCATTTTTTCCTTGCTCCTCTGCCTTCAGCAGTGGATTGACAGTCGTAACCTGATGTTTTCAGTGATGTGTTGCTTCCCCTTTCTTTGGTTTTAGTTTAAATCATCACATCAATTCACGATATCTACTTGCTTTCTTGTAGAACACTGCTAGTCTATAAACAATGTAGAGCTAGAGAAGGAAACACACGTAAAGCACCTGTGAGCAGAGATGGTTTGCTGCTAAGAAGGTGTGTAGGTGGTGGTCCTTCATAGCAGTGTATCTGCTGCCTTAGACCAAGCTGTGTTATTTACTGGTAAAGCTGTGCCCTGCTCGGTGGTGCCTGCTCAGCCAAGACAGAAGGTGTTTCTCTCTTGTGCTTTAGCTGAAGTACCTGTGGCTCACACAGCTTATCTATCACAAACAGAAATTAACTCAACAAATGCCTCTGTCCCTGTTGTCAATGATATTTGTAACGAGGACCCAGCTCGGTGTGGAGAGCCTGGCTTTCACCAGCTGAACCCATTTGATTTGTAAAAGAAATAAAGATGGAATCAGAAAGATTTTGTGAGCCCAGTCAGCCTGTGGTGATGTGATCTACCCACAGGTAACTTTCCTCATTCAATGTAATTTCCTGGTTATAAATATTTAAATTCTTATAGTTTCTAACTGGGCTATTTTAATTCTTACATGTCTCGTAGAAGCCAGATGGTCATACTTAGTTGACAAAGTAATTTTTCTTAGCCTTAGTTCCCTGAATACATAGCAGAACTAATAATACTTCCTAATGGGAATTTTGAGCATTTATAAACCTTTCAGCTGTCTGGCCCCTAGCTGCACTACAATTTATACTAATTCACTCATTTTCAGTGACTTTTTTTTTTTTCCAAGAGAGCTGTCAATTTAAAAAACAAGCTGTATTTCCTTTTTACTTTTTTCTTTCCATTAAAAAAAAAAAAAAAAGAAAAAGAAAAGAAAGAAACAGAAACAGCCTCCAGCTAAACCAAAGCTGTGCCAGTTCCTGGCATCCCTGTATGGAGCACAACAGGGACAGCACATGCACCAGGTGACATTACCCGGCTTGCAGAGCGCTTTGGCTCTCTGGAGCAATCTGTTTGCCCACAGACAGAGCTGTGATTGTGCTTGTTTTCCCTTTCTGTTTTTATATCTCTTTTTTCCTTGCCAGAAATGGCTTTTTTTTTCCCCAGTAGCACTGCTACGTTGGCAGCCTGCGAGGCTGCAGTTGCACAAGCTGGGGGTTGTGTGGCCCTGGGCTCACTCAGGGTTTGAGGGGATGGAAGGGGGTACCCATGGGAGCTGGGGACACCCACGGGAACTGGAGCCACCCCAACACATTCCCCGTGGCTCAAACCCAGCCCTTCATCCCAGGGTGGCTGCCTCCTCACGCCACCCCGGGTTGGGGGACGAGGGAAAGCCAGGGAGCTGTGGGGATGAGGCTCCACGCTCTCCCCTCTCCCTGCACTTGGTTCCCAACACCCAGGCTGGTGGGGCTGAACCCCCAGCACCCCCCAACTTCTCCCCCCAAGGCCTTGCTGTTCACCAGATGCTTTTTGCTCTTGGCAGCAGTGGTTTGGGGGGACACACCCCAATTGTCCAAGGCACTGCAGACCTCAAAATCATTTATATCTTCTCCTCTATAAAATCTTCTCCTCTATAAATCTCAGTAATCCACTCCTCAGCCGCCCACCCTTCACCCTCTGGTCCCAAATTGTGGAATTGTGGTACCTTGGGTTGGGTGACACCAGGCTGGTCCCGAGGAGCGATGGCTGCGGCCGTGGGGAGGGGAGCGCGGCTGCCCTCTCCTCTGCCCGATTCACCACCGACGTGTGTTTTTATACCCCAAGAGGTGACTCAGGTCACTCATAATGAGCCAGCACACAATGCCCAGCTGTTGTCATCACAGTGTGATGTGCCACCCAGTGCTGGGCAGGGGACAAGGGGCCGGTGCGATCCTTGGGCTGGGCATCCTGCACTTGGAGGTGTGCCAGGGCTCTGTCCCCCACCCCAGGGCTGTGTCCGGACGGTTTCCCATCGTACCGGAGGGCACAGAGGAGAAAAGCAGAGGGGCCAAGGTCTCCGTGCTTCCTCCTTCACAGACACGTCTTGTTTCACTCCCATCTTGTGCCCTTGATGTTGGGACGAGGCTGTGGGAGTGCTCAGCAGCGTGAGGTTAACGGTCGGACTGGATCTTAAAGGTCTTTTCCAATCTCGGCAATTCTGTGATTCTGTCTTTTCCAACTTAAACTGGTCTATGATTCTAAGCTAAGAGGACCATGTTTGAAGGACTGCAGGGTCTGTGATCACTGAAGCATCCAATATATGATTTCCAAAGCTTTGCTCCCCTGTGCGAGACATTCCCGTTGCTCCTCCGTGAGTTTCACCTCTGCTCCATGGAGCTAGGCAGCAGTTTCTGTGTTTTATGAGCCTGAGCTCCGAGGCCAAGGAGCCCAAATCTGAGCTGCTGCACTATGGGCTGGTTCAATGCCCTGTTCTTTCTGCAGAGCCCAGACCTCAGCAGTGACCCGTGGGGACACAGCCCCGAGCCAAGGGTCCCTGCAGACAGAGGTGAAGCAGCTAAGGCAGGACAGCCAGCAAATGGTAAAGACCAGCTCAGAGCAAGGTTGTAGTGAGCACAGCACTGAGCAGAAAAGCTGGTTCCATCCTGGGAAGCCTTAAGAGTCGTGCTAGTGGTACCCTGCACCCTGCAAGGTGGCTGCGGTGAAGCACTGTGCTGGCACATGGCTGCTCTGTTTCTCACCTTGCAGGCACCTCACTGGGGTTTTTAGTTGCCAGGTAAAATTCTGCCTCTGGGGCTGGTGCATCCTCACAGCCCCAGCTACCAAGGCCACTCCAAACAACTGCACTGCTTGTAGCATTTCTGGGAGGAGGATTGGGAATGACCCTGCCCTGAATTTCTGAGCATCAAGACATCATCATCAGCATCACGCTGCTGCTCTGCCTGGGACCTTCTCTGAGCCCAGCATAGGGGGGATCTGGGACACCCACAGAGAGGCTTCAGCTTTACTCTTTGCTGCTTTGCAGATGTTAAGATTCGCCCAGGAAAGCATAGCTGGTTCTGGAGTACTAATGGGATCTGCTGGGCTCTATGGCATGCTGCAGGGTGGGGTTATTTTTGCTTTTCCAGGGTGAATTTTGCAGTTTTTACATCTGGGGCCAGACACACTCCAGTGCTTTGCTCTCCACAATGAGACAGAGGCTGTTTCACACAGTGTCCAGAGTTTTCTTAACTTAAACACATAATCCTTATTAAAGAGATGTGTTGAAATAGGATATAAACTGCTCCATTAAGTGCAGCAAACTCCCTTTTGGGGAGGAAGGGATTTTCCTGCTCTACTTTGCTGTGGGACCCGTCTGCCCAGTCAGCTGTTTGATTGTGGCGAGGAGACTTGCTCGTCTGGCTCACAGTGGCAAGCTCAATACCGTGACCGCTGTGTCCATCAGCAAACCAGCCAGGCATCCTGCCTCTGAA